TACGAAGCAAAAAACAAGAGAGTGTTCAGTAACTTGTCCGGTGTGGTAATCGCCTGTGAATCCTGAGGTCCAGTTTCAACCCTCACCATCGTTGGGTTATTTTTCTCACGTTTTCTACATCCCTTGATCCAACCTATGATAGGTAGGGTCAAACTCCTAGTCTTTCAGGGTGAGACATTTAATTTCAATTTCAGAGATTGTATGTGGAGGTTTTGAGATTCAAAGCAAAATAGCAAACAAACAAACAAACAAACAAACAAACAAACAAACAAACAGACAAACAAACAAACAAACAAACAAACAAACAAACAAACAAACAAACAAACAAACAAAAGAAATGTAAAAAAACCAACTAACAAAAAAAAAAAACGGCGCCTGGGGCAGTCGTCCTTCTAAAATTCAAAATCAATTCCTACCTAAAATCTAAAATGTAAGCCACTCTAGTCAGTACAAATAATTAAGACTACGTATCTTCGAAAAGGTCAGACAAGAAGGATTCTCGGTTCTATCAAAAACTAGTTTTTGGTTCTATCTAGATAAAGATAAAATTATGTGCGTTAAAATTAGGCTCTCGGAACTCGCAACCGTAAGGTCATGGGTTCGAATCACGTAAGGGGCCCGACGTTGTGTCCTTGGGAAATGCACTTTACACGAATTTTCCTCACTTCACCCACGTGGGAATGGGTACCCGGCTATAGACAACGAAAGATCTTGTCAGTTTGTTAGTGTTTGAGCGCTTAAGCAGCTGCTTGCACTGTATGCTTCCCGGAAGCTGAGAATGTTTCGGAGTGTTCTATGGTCTGCTGGGGTAATAATATAGTGTAAAGCGCATAGAGCCTGCTGTTGAGCGGGGATATGCGCTATACAAATGCTATCTATTATTATTATTAAATTGATAACACTGCACTGTGAGAAGAAGATCTTACACCCCCCACCCCCCGGGCGGTGCTACTTGCTGAAGTGTCTTTAGGCCATTCCTAAAGGAGATGGGTTGGAGGGGGGGCATTAACCATGTTCTTTTGCACAGTAGAATTGTAATTGTGAATGAGCTGATTCATCAATGCCATGCTCATAATTGGGCCTGAACTGCAACAGGGAACTTCTGTTTCTTTCCTAAACCTTACTATCGTCATTTTTACCTCTACTTCTTTTGTATGTTTGTCACACTCTTGTGACCCGCTTTGATAGTCGAAGCATACTTTGTGCTGTTGAAGCTAGAGAGGTGAGCAGAGTAAGTCTAATTCCCTCTAAGGACTTGTCTTTTGACATCCACCCCTTGATGCTCATATGATCTTATGAGGTTGCGAGCGCCGTAAAACCTGTATTAAAAAAACAACAACAAAAAACAAAACAAAAACCCAAGATCTTACAGCCAATTGCCCCATGAGCCCAAACACGGGTACGCAGTAAACGAAGTCGAAGAGAGAGTGAAAGTGGTCCGTATTTTCCCATTTCTTTTTGATGACCAACATATTGTGACGTTAAACAACTGATGATGTGTTGCTTACCATCTAAATTTAAGCATTTCCAGAAACAAGCTATTTCGTGAGTCCCATCATCCCCCACCCCTTTTTTTTTCTTTTCCTCTCTTTTCAAATCCGTCACCCCATCATTTTCACCCTGCCCCCCCCCCCCCCCAAAAGGAAAAAAATGAAATTTAAAAGAAAAATTATTTCAAAAGCATCTGGAGATGAAAAGAGGCAATTCCTAAAGAAAAAGAACAGAAATGCCCCAATCTCCCTCTCCAGCTCTCTCTCCCTTCTAAAAATAATCCTGAAATGGATCGTCTAACTTGCAGTACACAAAATCAATCACATTTTCACACAGTTGTTTTTGCGAAACCCGAGAGTGCCAGTGAAAATTGCTCCCTGAAATGGATTAACCTATTGCTTAAAGTTAATGGCCGATGCAATTTTGCACGAGTAAATACTTTTGCTATTAAAAATCAAACCGACAACGTGGAGACCTGGGGGAAATGCCGTTTTCGTAGGGGTATTTTTTTTCTCCCCCCCCCCCTTTTTTTAGGGAGGGGGTGGGGTGGGGTGGGGGTAGTCCTGCCACGTTTTATTCCGTTGCTTGTTGATTAAAATAAAATATTTTAGGCTGAGAGACTCACGAACAATCGAACCAAATGCTGACGGCAAAAGAATTATAATTGCGGGAGTCATCTTACTCACAGCAGTCTTTTAAAAGTGTTTCTCCTTGTAATAATTTTCTACTTTCCCTTCCCTGTGTTTCTTTTCAATAAATTGTCTTTTAGAAATCTTTTACTAAATTTGAAAAATAAATTCAAGAAGCATCTTTTAAAAAATCATGACTTTGAACCCCTCTCTTTTTGACATAAGGACAGTACATTATACGCGATAGAAAAGAAGAACGTAAATTTGAATCACTTAAATGTTCTACAGCCCTGTGAGTGAGTGAGAGAGAGAGAGTGAGTGAGTGAGTGAATGAGTGAGTGCGTGAGTGAGTGAGTGAGTGAGTGAGTGAGTGAGTGAGTGAGTGAGTGAGTGAGTGAGAGTGAGTGATGGAGACAGTAAGGAAAGGAGAGGGAGAGAGAAAGAGAGAGAGAGAGAGGGAGGGAGAGAAAGAGTGAGAGAGAGAGAGGGGGAAAGAGAGAGAGGGAGTGTGTGTGTGAGCGAAAGGAAGATAGATATTGAAAAGGAAGGAGAGAGAAAGGGGAAGGCGAGAAGAAGAAGGAGAAGAAAGAGGAGAGAAAAAGGGTGAAATAAAATGAAGAGAGAGAGAGAGAGAGAGAGAGAGAGAGAGAGAGAGAGAGAGAGAGAGAGAGAGTAAGGGAGGGAGAGGAAAAGAGAGAAAGAGAAAGAGAGATGGTGAAAGGCGGGGAGGGGGGATGGATGAGAAAGCAACAGTCAGGAATACACACACTTATGAAAAAGGGGAAAATACACGAGAAGCAAAACTGAATTCTGTCGAGGCAAGGAGCTGAAGAAGGGGTATAGTTTTATATTTTAAAAAAGTGAAATAAATTTGAGCATTTTCTTTAATCTGCAATTGCAGAATGCCGTCCGCTCCAAATAAAGTGCGAATCAGATTGGGATACCTGAGGAAATCGTGAGCAGCAGATTCTTCTTACTTAACATTTTCAATTGATTCTCCTATAGTTTCACCTTAAAACCAGGCGTTTTTAAACTCAATTTTAAGGAAATTGCTTGTAGCTTTTGATTTGTAAATTGTTTTAAAGTTTTTCGTAATTTAGAAGTTTGGTATTGAACCAGCTCGTCTCTGACGCTGAAGGTGCATGCGTTCCCCTCAAGCGCATGTCTTAGATGGATGCTCTCACCTACACTTTAGCACGCTTACTCTTATATTGAGTGGCGTCATGGTGAAATCAGGTGCTCGTCAAAATAAGGAAATTCAAGAAACCGTCATTTTCCCGCACGATGGGACAATTTTTATCTCTTTTTGGGGGGGGGGGGGTTCAACACCCCTTATGTCCATTTAAAAGCACATTTCTCAAGTGGAATGTGGATTTTGACTGAACATTTTTGGTCACAAAAAGTATAAATTTGCAGTTTTCAAGGACTCAAGCTTTTCAAGTCACCAAACTTGGACGTCCATTTTCTCCCTAATTTTACATCTAACACCAGGTGACCATATACATTGTACCTCCTTCCATCACAGATCTGTGCAAGCTATATAAGAGTATTATCTTATTTCAGCAAAAGCAAAGCGAATGAACAAGTTTAAAATGATACAAATAACTCCGCATGCCCAAAAAATTGACGAGCGGCTTGATTCCACCGTGTCGTGACACATACTATAGTATTAGGAATACCCAGAGGCTTGGATGGCGACCCAGTTACAAGAACCGAAAATAAACGGAAAAAGTATGTGGTGTATAGAGTAGTTGAAATGATTTTTAATTTTCTAAATTTCATTTTTAATTTTTTTTTTGGAAGGGGAAAAAGGGGGGGGGGGGTTCCTACAATTGACACGTTGCAGAAATATTCTTCAACTCAAGGAGAATAGTTAAGAAAACTAAGGCTGTTACTGTCACCAGAAGGCAGCGTGTACTCTACATCTCGCACCCAGCGCAGAGGTTTTCTGTATGTTTTCGTGATTCTTTTAAATATTTTGGAGTTTGTAGAAAAGCCTGTGCTGTGATATAAGTATTCTAACACAAAATACATGTACTGTCAAGTTTGTTTGTGGTTAACTAAATTTAAGAGTCGTGGACTTAGATATCTATAATCAGGGGTTTAGTTTTAGTTTTAGTAAGAGTTTTACAGCACTTGCAACACAATAAGGTCATATAAGTGCCGAAGAATAGAGGTGTTACAAGAGAATAACATACACAAAAAAGAAGGAGGAGAGGTTAGGACGATAGATGTTTGATAGGAAAGAAGGCGCAAACCACACCAGAGCACCCCTCAACCACCCACTATAATCAGGGGTCACAAGCTTTATTGTAAGAGTGGTACACAGGCGACTGAAGTCATGGTAAGTGAATACTATCGGTTGTGTTCATTTTCTGTTTACTGAATTCTTGATAATCATCCTAAAGTGTCAGGTCTGAAACAGGTATCGTCGAGCATTGCTCGCCTTTCATGTCTTTCTTTTGGTGCTCTCCAAAATACCCAGCGGCGTCTGTGGTGTAGCAGTTAGTCATTTCACTGTCGCATGCAGGAAACCCAAGCTCAATTCCGGAGTGGAAAAAAATGTTGTATTGATTATCTCGATCTTTCTTTTGGGATGTTGTATCTGTCTTTGCCAGGATTGACTCTGACAGGAAGGGTCGGAAGCCTTCTTCCTAAGTGATCTAGATTGAGTCGAAAGAGACGAAAGAACACCTACATTAAAAAATATGTATACTTTAGAAAACTATGTTACCCTAATTTTTCCACAGTCACTCTTTGGTACAGATTATTGCAAAAAGTTGCTCTGGGTCTACCCCTGCCTTGTGATTCGTTTAAAAAGTGCCAAGTGACATTTTTTTTCATTATCTGTAACTGCTTTCTTTCCCTGTACTGTTTCAGGAGCATCAGGCGTTTGGCGGTACTCCCTTGGCTATGCTGGCCGCTCAATGTAGCAAGATAACCTCAAAGTCTCCCCCACCCCTTGCTGAAGCCACAGTGGGAAAATCGTTTATCCCCTGGAAAAAGCACACTACTACTGGACACTCTCCCGGGCCTTTCCACCATCATATTGCCTCACAGCGAATGGGTAGTCTGAACACAGCGCCGCTATCCATGTCCAGCAATCTGTCCTACCCCAGATCAACTGTGGTATCGTCCAACCCTCCCTCCTCGTACCCGAACGAGCTGTTCTATTCTAGCTCCGCGGGGAGTGCTCACCACAGCCACCACCACCACCACCATCACGCCGCCTCTCACCAAAGCTCAGAACTCTCACAATCTACGCTACTACAAAAAATGCATGGAGAAAACAGCATCGGACAGTCGGGGTTCGGATCTGTGTACCCACGAGTTCCCTCAATGCCCGGGGCGTACGAGTCGGCGTGGCCCTTCTCCAACATCCCCACCACACACCCCGGAGCCACACACGGACTCAAACCCAACGACGTCCCACACTCGGTCAACGCGAGCACTACCCCGTGGTGGGACGTCCACCCAGCAGCCAACATGCACTCCGCCGGAGCTAACTGGCTCTCAGACTCCTCGGCTCTCCACGGCCAGATTACCGCGTCATACCCTAGCCCGGCTACGGACTACCACATTGGCCACTCTCTGGCTTCCAACCCTGCCTTGCTTTCTTCGCAGCAGCATTTGCTGCAGGACACGTACAAGTCTATGTTGCAGCCTCCACAGGGTACGGACCTGGGATTAAACAACAGTCCAGTTCCCCCTTTCCTCTCCCGCCCCACTTTGCCGGGTCTGACGGCCCCGAGAAACTCGAGGAGGTATACGGGACGGGCGACGTGTGACTGTCCTAACTGCCACGAGATAGACCGGCTAGGTGAGCATAGCAGAATAAGATAGTTAGTACTGATCTACCGTTTTCGGGGAATTTTTACTGCATGTAGCTGTTACAAAATATTTTTTTTTGGAGGGCGGGAGGGGATATTATAAAGTAATTAAGGAAATCCATAAGGAAGTCACGCAGGGAAATCCTTGCGATTGCTGTAAAAGTTCACTTGACATTATTGTTTACGCTTTCTGTGTCATTGCCGTTGCCGTAATTTTAGGGGTTCATTTTTATTATAATTTGCACCGGTGTGGTCTTCATCGACATTATTGCTGCATATATTGTTAAATCTTCCATTTTGGCAAACGTAAGTTCGAGGTTCGAATCCGAGTTGTTCAGGTTTAGAATCTGAGTTGGGTTTGAATATCGTTTTGTCTCCGTTTCTAGAAAACACCGTCTTACCAAGGTCTGCCCACGAGAAGCACCAAGGGCTCCGAAAATTATAACTGTTTGGTTTTAACGTCAATTTCAATACCTTAAAGGTTTATCTAAAAGGAAGGACTTCACAATTTAAAGTTATCTCCTGCAGAATTGAGCCAAGTGGGTTAAGATACTAGCAATTGCAAAATAACGCTAGTTTAAGAACGTCTCTTTGGAGATTTGAGCCAGGGCATTCAGCAATAAGCTTTATTATTTCAATGTCTATAAACAATACCTTCTCTCGTGTTGTTTAATGACTCGTTTTTTAAATTGAAATGATAAATTTCCTTTAATTTCAAAGTGATATTTTTCAGCAACTATAGAAGAAATTTTAGTCCATAGCCCACTAGATCTATTATTAGCCGTAACAATGAAGCAAGAATGCGAGTCTTATTTTAGCCTTCATGCTTCCGATGTTCCTTCTTAGGTGACATCGAAAAACAGACGAAAAGTAGATTAAAATGGTTAAACTACACATACCGTCTCCACATCCTTTCAAATTCACCCCACTCCAGCCTCTACAGGTATAAATATGGGTGTTGGGGAAATGTATACATTTCACTTTGTAACGCTTTTGCTGGTGTATTTAATTGCTTCGACTCGGGTCTTTTGAAAAGAGAAAAACATACGCCGTGATCTTGCTTGCCAGAGGTAATCTTATACCTTGTAAACCCAATCTCGAACACCAATCTCTAATTCCTTTAATTCTTATACGCATTACAGGATCCCTCGGCTGGCTTCATCGTGTGATACCGTCTTCTCCCACCCTGAACCCAAACCTCTCTCTCTCTCCCTCTCCCTCTCTCTCTCTCTCTCTCTCTCTCTCTCTCTCTCTCTCTCTCTCTCTTCCCCCTCTCTCTCTCTCTCTCTATCTATCTCTCTATCTATCTATCTATCTATCTATCTATCTATCTATCTATCTATCTATCTATCTATCTATCTATCTATCTATCTATCTATCTATCTATCTATCTATCTATCTATTATGTCTCTCTGTATGTCTACGAAACCTATATATTCAGAAAAAAGACAAACACACACATACACACACACACACACACACAGAGAGAGAGAGAGAGAGAGAGAGAGAGAGAGAGAGAGAGAGAGAGAGAGAGAGAGAGGGAGAGAGAGAGAGAGAGAGAGAGAGAAAAAGAGAGAGAAAGAGAGAGAAAGAAAGGGGTGGGGGTAGGGGCTGTGCATTTTCATTTTAAGCTTTTTACTTCTCTAACGCTCGGCGTGTTTCAAATCAGATGTTTCAAATAGCGTGCTGGTTTTAGTAGGCTGTTTCGCCTTTGGGACTTACTTTGGATTATCGTATAAACTTAAACCGAATATTTATGACCCTGATAATGCTTGAGCTGCCTGGAGATGGAAGGAAAGGTAAACTATTAGGAAGTATACGAATACAGCCGGCTAAATGAAGTAACAATAATTATTATTTAACAACTTAATAAGCATCCGAATTGATAGCCAAGTTCTGGGAAATAATTAATATATTACTAAAATCCCTTTTTTAGAAGATTCTTATTTATAAATTAAGCCCATGGGTAAATCATTTGAATTTAGGTGAAATGATCAGACTTGAGTGTGCTGGTATCATACACACAGGAATGCTGACATCCTTTTTCACCTCATCCCCTCCCCCCTCCCCCTTCTCCCCTACGCATTTTTGGGGGTTTCTTTCTATTAAACATACTTCAAGGTACAGTACGATACTAAAACCCTAAAACGTAAGTTACATTGCTTTCCTAAAATGCATTCAGCGTATGAGTGTGTGGTTTTAATTTGCAGCATATAACTGATTGCAAATAATATTTGCAACCAGTTATATGCTGCAAATTAAAACCGACATATTATGTCAGTGGTGGAATGCATTCCACGCCGCCTTTCTTTCAAGGCAAAAGAAAATGTAAGGCAAAAATGAGGAGTAGGGCAAACACCGAGAGCTCTGCGGCTGTTGCCATAGGGAGAGGGGTTAGTTCTAAACAAATAAATAATTAATAAATAAATCGCTCTTTTATTGATCCCAAGAGGGCAATTTGGTTTACAATGGCAAACATACGTACGTTGTACATACATACCTACATACATGCATTAACTACTTATTATAAATACATACATTCATGAATACATAAACACATGCACAAATACATAAATTAATAATTATAGGTTTTCACAAATAGGCCTCGCCCCCCCCCCCCCCCAAAAAAAAAGTAGTCTCACATAATCGTAGTTAAAGACTTCAACTTTTTAAAAAGGATTCTTACATTGTAAACATTAGGTTGGAGATGTACCTGGATTGTGAGGGTGTGAGGGTGGAGGGTTCTTTCGTTTTAGTAAGAAATCAAAAAGAAAATTGCTTCACTTCAACGGAAACCCCTTCTTGATCAAGTAATAGCAACCAAGTCGCCCATATAGAGAACATTTGTGGTTCTAGGTCTTGGGTAAAACGAAAATAAGCATGATAAGTCCGGTTTTTTTTGGTACAGATCAATCTGAATAGAAGCAGAGCTTGGGTCGAAATTACTTGTCATAGAAAACGTAGCCATCAAATATGTGGGGCAGCGTGGTGGAAGCAGGCTCTCGTCAAAATAATCTAAGTGAAGAAATTTCCATTTTTCCGCAGGTTTGTAAATTTTTTTCAAATTTTTGTTTTTTGGCTCAACACCTTTCATAGCCATTAAAGAACTCATTTATGTGTGGATTTTTCTTAAAAAACGTTGATTAAAGGTACAAAAAATGGAAATTTTTAGTTACCACGGACTCTTAAGCAAAGGATATAACTAATCTTTGGCGGCCATTTTCTCACTAAGTTTACCTCTGAAAATAGGTGAACCCCACCTCCTTCATTCGCAAATATCTCGACTTGTATTCAAGATAAATGGATTTTTTTTTCATCCAAATAAAGACAAGTGAAACAAGTTTTAGATGATACCAACAACTCTACATGCCCAAAAATTGACGAGAGCCTGATTCCACCACGCTGCCTCAAATATACACCAAATTGGCATGTGCTGCCAACGTGACATTACGAAGCTACCTCAGAATAACAAAGTTCAATTTGACATTTATTTTTTAACCTTTTGAGTTACTTATACCATAAGGTCGGAAATCAATGTATGCTTTATTTGCTCTATCAAAACAGAAAGAATATTCGGGTCTGTTATCAAGATATTTAAAGCAGTGCCTTTAAAAAAGCTCGACATGATGTGAAACTTTTAAAATATTGACGTCAAATTTCTCAAAAATGAGTACTGAGCAGATATACTTTGTAACTCTGAGGTAGCGTTCAGCCAAGAGGACACATTTCGTCAGCTAATCTTCAAGGGATATTACGGAAAATCACATTTGCGGGTTCACTAATACCTTCACTAAGCAAGTTATTAATCTTCAAACTGCTAGAGGTTACCTGGAGCTAACATTTTAAAACTATATATTACGTATCCTATTAATATATTCGCTGTTCAAGCGTATAGAAACTTTAACCTTGCAAAAGGTGCATTTTTCCTGCTTCACGTATTAAAAACATTTTCAGTAGAGCATGACCTCTGCACTTTTGGGAATATGGGACTTCGAAGATCATTAGGAAGGTAAGCTGCATTAAAAGGCATTATATCCCATAGCGCGTAGACAGCCCAATAAAGCCACCTGAAATCACTTATAATTAAGACTTCCACTTACGGATATGTCTTAGATTAAGAGATACCCGTACTCATAGAAAGTGGCCATAACTATAACCAGCACCTTATGTTAATTAGCCCCAACTGTTGATTCCCTCAAATGTGTCGATCAAAGGGAGACATGAATTAACTCACCATAGCGCTCATGGTGACATTAATTCCTTCCCTAATCCTTACAGCAGTCTTACGTGATGATTCCAACGATATCTATGATTCTTTGCCGTAATTATTACAACATTAAATGATCCCGTGTTGGCCCAAAGAAACAGGTGGATGTCATTCACAATCTGCTGCGGCGGTCTGTTAGCCTCGTTGCACACTTCGCTCTCGCCACGTCGCTGGGCACTGTGCATGTGCTGTGTGGGCAATACATTGTGTCACATCAAAGCCAAGTAGTCTGGGAGATGGCATTCCTTAAACCTACTGAAGAGGAATAATAATAGTGATAATATTTTTAAAAAATAAATTAAAATAACAATAATTCTCCCTCCAATAAATAAATGAATAAATAAATTAATTAATAATGATAATACTGATAATACTGATAATACTAATAATAATGATAATGATAATATTAATAATTATAATAATAATAATAATAATAATAATAATAATAATAATAATAATAATAATAATAATAATAGAAGAAGAAGAAGAAGAAGAAGAAGAAGAAGAAGAAGAAGAAGAAGAAGAAGAAGAAGAAGAAGAAGAAGAAGAAGAAGAAGAAGAAGAAGAAGAAGAAGAAGAAGAAGAAGAAGAAGATAATTAATAATAATGATGATAATAATAATAATAATAATAATAATAATAATAATAATAATAATAATAATAATAATAATAATAATAATAAAAATAATAATAATAATAATACTATCATTTTCTTTACCATCATCATTATTAACTATATCATTATCATCAACAGTATCATTATTATCATTATCATTATTATCTTGTTTATAAGTTTATATTAATGTTTTACTGAGATGATAATGATGATGATGATGATTATTTCTCAATAATTGTCACTACTCATAATATAATATTAATCGCTTTGTATATAAGCATAATATATAAGGATGGTCGCTCTTTTTAGCCAGCCGTTTCTTTGAGAAAATGTATATGTTTCACCTCTAGTCTCATTTTCGTAATGATGTCACAGCTTATAACTTAGATGTTCAAGTCCAGTATCCAAAGAAATAGATATGCATGTGCAAGAAAGTATATGCCTGTGTGAGTGTATATATGTATATGAAAAGATGGGTGTAGGTACAATTGTCAAGAATAATTCATCTGAAAAATCTACTTCTGAGCTTAGAACAATTGAACAGTTGCTCGCTCTCTTGCACGCCCCCCCCTGTCTGTCTGTCTGTCTGTCTGTCTGTCTGTCTGTCTGTCTGTCTGTCTGTCTGTCTGTCTGTCTGTCTGTCTGTCTGTTTGTCTCTGTATATCTCTTTCTCTCCCACTCCCTCTCTCCCTTTCCGTCTCCCTCGTCAGTATGCATACTTATGGATAAACAATATTGTACTCAAAAAATGAAAACAACTCCACCCCCTGTCTTCAGACAGAAATGTTACCAGTATTGGTTTAGTTTTAGTAGAGGTTTTACGGTGCTCGCATAAGGACATGTGAGCGCCAGAAGATTTAAGGTGTTACAAGGGGGTAACAAACATAAAAAAGAAGGGGAGATAAGGACAATAAACGTTTCATAGGAAAGAAGAAGCAAACCACACCAGAGCACCTGCCAACCACCCACTGTAACCAGTATAACGTTTTGTTTGTTTCCCTCCCCAGGACCAGCTGGTGAACATCTCCGGAAGCGGAACATCCATTCCTGTCACATTCCTGGCTGTGGAAAAGTGTACAACAAAACATCACATCTCAAGGCTCACCTGAGATGGCACACAGGCGAGCGACCCTTTGTCTGTAACTGGCTCTTTTGTGCAAAGAGGTGAATTCACTTCTGAGAACTGTTTTCTTTTTTCTTTTTTTTTTTTTTTTGCTTTGAAAAAAAAAAAGACGAGTATGAGTACTTTTCATCAGCTTAATTGGCATCCTGGCCTGCTGATCTATATAGCACAAGGCAGTCATTTGATACCTTATCGGAGCGTTTTGAACTTCTAATTTGCAACTCTCCAACCCTTCTGTTTTGCCCTATCGGAGACGGACGTTAAATTCAGAAGTCAGAACTTATAGTCTTATAACGCTCGTCAAAAGCATTACCCAATTGTGTCTTCTAAGAGAAGAAAAGTGGGTTTATTTTGAGGTAATGGGGAAGACGATTTTGTAGAGGGTGTTTCAACATGAACAAAGCCAGTTCTTTTTTTATTACGAAAAGGAAAATAGATGTTCCCAAATCCCTACCTCAGAATTACAAAGTTATGCTTAGTACCTAGTTTTGAGAAATTTGACGTGAAAGATTTTGGATTTTTACAAAACATCAAGCTTTTTCGAATGCAGTTCTTTAAATATCTTGATAACGGCTCCAATTAATCTAACTGTTAAATTTTGATAGCGCAAATAGAACATTAATTTTGTTTTCTGACCTCATGGTCTTAATAACTCAAAACAGCCAAAAATGTCAAATAGAACTTTGTAATTCTTGGGTAGCAAAATGTAGACTGTGTTTTGGTTTCATGGAAGAGGGAAATTTTATTCTGAGACAGACCTCGTACATCGGTTGACAGTCACCTTTCAAAACGCTGAAACACCCCTTTTAAAAAAAGTAGATTTTTTTGGTAAAAGTGAAAATAAACCCCCGGAAGATGGATGTTTGAACCTGTGTGTGGGAGTTGTCAAGACTCTCCACCAACACCAACTTCGTTTGGGGTTATCAGAGAAGATGGTCGATGAAATCGGAAAAAAAAACTTGTCTTTAAATGAACCTAACAAAAATTAATAGTAGTATTAAACCCTTATCACACCACACCAAGCACAACATTTGCTTTCAAATTGTGAGCAATGGTAACATGTTGATATGTTTAATTATATGCTCCCTGCAAAATCTTGAACCTGGCTCTTTACTGAAAGGCAATGAAAGCTGATTATAGCAGAGTGATTGGAATCAGAAGGAATGATACAGGTTCGAAACTATTACTACTTCAATGTTTTGCTAGAGATGGTACCTTCGATTTGACGTTTTTTTTTCTCCAAAAAGTCTTACTTAACGGTGTAGGGACACATACAAATGCATGAAATTATCAAAGTTAAAAACGCACAGTTTGCATTCAAACCAGCCGCGGGTGTCCAGCCTAATACCGACAGACCACAACTACAGCGCCCCTGTATCTTTTGTTTTAGCACATATTATATATAATCTATCTATCTATCTATCTATCTATCTATCTATCTATCTATCTATCTATCTATCTATCTATCTATCTATCTATCTATCTATCTATCTATCTATCTATCTATCTATCTATCTATCTATCTATCTAATATAATATTAATATAATGTTTGTGTATGTTATGTGTGTGTGTGTGTGTGTGTGTGTGTGTGTGTGTGTGTGTGTGTGTGAATGTGTGTGTTTGTGTGTGTTTGTGTGTATATGTGTGTGTCTGTGTGTGTGTGTGCGTGTGTGTAGAAACTAAATTAAATAAATTTTAAGGTATTCGAAAAAAGGGGGCGGGCATGCTCTTCCATTTATAAAAAACTGAGCCCAACGTGCTGGCAAATTGATAATACTACGTAACAAACCACAGAGCAAAGAGAGGGGTCTCTTGTGGCCTAGAGGTTAAGGTGTTGGCCTCTCATTCAAAGGTCCCGGGTTCGAATCCGGGTAGCGACCGAAAAATTTTCTTCTCTAAAATTGTCTCCTTTCACCTCATTTTCCTGCTCTCTAGCAATGTTCTGTTGTCTGCTTTCATTTCCACTTTCTGCCCCCACCCCCTCACCTCCTTTGCCCCCTCCTCTGGGCTCCTGACTCTTTCTGCAGCCTTTCTACTGCTACTCCTTGGCTCCTCCTTACTGCTGTCTTTCTGCAACACCCCTGATCTTCTGGTAGGAAAGATCTACACGTAGCCTTCTCGGACAAGGGCGAAAAATCTCGGAGGGCCCGTGTGCAAGTTGCGCACGTTAAAGACCCCTTGGTGGTCTAAAATCGATAAGAGTAGGCTTCGGCCGCCACCCGGGCAAAATTCAAAATTTCCTACCAACTGAAAATATTAGGTGTGTCCCGCGCGCTCATATGACCTATGCAGTTGCGAGCGCCGTAAAACACTTTACAAAAACAAAAAAGAGCAAAGAGATCTAAAAACCCTGCCTGTCTCTGTCAGTCACACAGGACACCTTCATCAGCTCTTATTTGTGTTCCTTTACTTTTTCTGGCCAGGTTCACGAGGTCGGACGAGTTACAGCGACATTTGAGGACACACACAGGGGAAAAACGTTTCGCTTGTCCAAAGTGTAACAAACGGTGAGTGAATCTTTGTACTGTATTCTAATACGGGGTGCCCACTACGGCTGGATCGGGCCGATCGCCCGACTCGGTCGCCTGAAACTGAAAACAAACACGTTTGTATTTGAGGCGACCGGCGGCGGACCGATCCAATCCGTAGTGGGCTCCCCGTATAACACACTGCTCGTTCGTAGAATGCTAAGTGGAGTAGTAAAAGGCCGGTCCTAGAGTGGCTCTGTAGGTCTGACCTGTAGCTCGCCTGGCTCGCACCGTGCAAATGAATGTATACATTATCGTTTGCTTAAGCAGCGTCGCTGTGTCGTCTGTTTTTTTGTCAGCTGAGCTGCGCGATGCGTCAGTGTTGTAAAAATGGCGGACATGCATCGCCTCGCTTCGTGTTTATTTTCGACTGAAACTCTTCACAGATCATCAAAATCAACAAGAAGTATGTATTATTAGGTGCTTTGCTTTTAAATATTGATGCTAGCATCAACACTTGGCCACAAAATCACCCAGAAATGCACTTTATCATACTTTGAAACTTCGAATCGAGAGGTTGACCTAGTTTCGACTGTTGTCATAGGCCTAGGCCTAGGCCTAGATCTAGGTGTGCTTCTCTAGGCTAGATTCTAGATCTAAATCTAGATCTAGCCTTGCATTACCAATGTAAACTATCGCCTCGCGCGGCTGCAAGTGTGTTTGTGTGTGTGTGGGGGGGGGGGGGGCTGCACTTGGCACATGACGTAAAGAAGAGTTGTCCCGTCTTGGTAGAATTGGTCTTGGATTACACAATATCTAAATATAGCAAAGCAGACCCGTCAGTTGCACACCTACACACGTCAACACACACAGTGCAGCTGTGCTGAGACGCAGCGAGTGTGCCTCGTGCTCGCTGAGACACAGGCGCCAACCCACAGTGCGGCTGTGCTGACACGCGCACGGCGTGCGCCAGACGAGCTACAGGTCAGACCTACAGAGCCACTCTGGTACCTGCCTAATATGCTTGTCGGACCTGTTGGGATGTGTGAGCATGAATATGGGCTATATAAATGCAATTATTGTTATTATTATCATTTTCATTATCAAAATTATTATTATCATCATCATTTTTTTGCTATATTATTATTATCATCATCATCACCATCATCATCATCATCATTTTTTTGCTATATTATTATCATCATCATCATCATCATCATCATCATCATCATCATCATCATCATCATCATCATCATCATCATTATTATTATTATTATTATTATTATTATTATTATTATTATTATTATTATTATTGCTGTTGTTTTATTTTTATTATTTTTTTATATCATTTTTTATAATAATAATAATAATAATAAAATAGTTTATTATTATTATTATTGTCATTATTATTAACATTTTTATTAGTCTTGTTATTAATATTGTTATTATTAGTGTTGGCGTTATTATTATTATTATTATTATTATTATTAATATCACTATTATTGTTGGGGTTTTTTTGGTTATTATTATTATTTGTTACTATTACTATTATTATTGTTGTTAATATTACTGTTATTGTCATTATTACTGCATCAACACTGGCATCAATACTAGTCTCCCACAACTTTTTTCTCTAAAGAAATAATTAAATCTCTTTAAGATAGTTACTGGCGTCTACGGTATAGCAGCTAGGCTCTTAACCGTCCCACGCTGGAGATCTGAGTTCGACTCCCGAATGGGAAGAAATAATATTTATTAATGAGATTCTCGGTATTTCCTCTGCTTGAATGCTGTGGTATCCCTCACAGCCCGGGTTGGCCATGAGAGGCACGCAGGGTCGGAAGCCCGTCTCCAAAATGGTGTCGACGGGGGCGTTTTCCGTACGTCGTGTTTTACTATCGTATCCACACGACGTGGGGAACTCTGTCCCACCACTTCCAAAGAGGAAATTTACTTGTTAATCCGATCCGTACGCTTTGCCTAGCAATCTGTCAAAATGTTGTTTTGAGAAATACTGAAAGTTCCAAAGAGATCTTTGTACTAGAAGTATTCTATAATGTCGAGAATACAACCCCAGGGTACCAAATGACCCCAGGGAGTACGGATAGGGTTAAGAAAAAAAATCCTAGATGTCCACCCTGGTCCCAATTTTGGAGAGAAAAAATCTGAGTAAGTTTTTGTTTTATATTCTGCGAATTCAGACGAGTGTGGCGTCAGTCTTTCTTAGTCGAAGGAGGACCGCTGTCGTGTCAACTCACTGTCCACATTTGAACATATCGGAAAGGGAACAATAGAAGGGTTTACAATTATTATAGGAGCGTTTAATGAAAGTTCTGCATACCAAGAGCAATTTTATTTTCTTTATTTCTTATCATACCAGCCCTTTTTTGGAACGCATTACCTCTACGTTTGTGTTCGATTACTGAATAGCACTTCACCGCTAATTGGTAACCCTTTCTTATAAAAGAATCTTTTCTTTTTTTTCGTATAATAATACTTCTGACAGTGGGCGTCAGATTTTTACAAGAAGTTTTGAGAATTTATTGCTGATTGTTCTCCACAAATTTATCCCGGGTCTAATGCTTTCACTGAATCTCATAAGCTAAGGCAACTATTATTCTTCATTCCGCAAAAGCGATCCGCGAAGCTACCTTTTGACGGATAAAGCTGTGATATCGACAAGAGGGCACTTTGCTTCAGGGGATAAGGATAACAATGAATGTCATTACATAGCACCTTTAAATTTGAGTTAACGATAAAGGCATTTGGTGAGTAAACTATCTCTAAATGTTAATCTATCGGGTGCTGTCCATGTATTCGTCTGTCTGGAACTCCTCTGTCTGTCTGTCTTTCTGTCTGTCTGTCTGTCTGTCTGTGTGTGTGTCTGTCTGTTTGTCTCTACCTCCCTCTCTCTCCTTCCCTCTCTCTCCTCCCCCCCCCTCTCTCTCTCTCCCTCCCCCCTCCCTCTCTCTCTCTCTTTCTCTCTCTCTCTCTCTCTCTCTCTCTCTCTTTCTCTCTCTCTCTCTCTCTTTCTTTCTTAACGCTGTTTACCCCCCCCCCCCCCAGGGCAGTGCTACGGACTGAAGTGTCTCTAGGCCATTCCCAAAGGGGGAATACTAACATGTTCTTATGCACAGTAGAATTGGAAATTGGCTGATTTTTTAATGTCATGCTCATACTGTGCCGAAACAACGTAGGGAGGACTACTGCTTTTTCTTTCCTCATCCTTACTATCGTTATTTTCCTCTACTTCCTGATTCCCCGTTTGGATTTCTCTGTTGACATCTACCTCTTGGTGCTCATATGACCTTTCGCAGTTGCGAGCGCCGTAAAACCGTATTGACATAACGCGGTTTGCTCTCCACCGAATTTCTCTTTTACCGGCATAGATACAATAAAAACATGGCATATAATTCCTATCCGTGGAAAACATTTTGTCAAACATCTCCGTCCTTTTGAAAGAATTCTGAATCCCTGTCAACTGTCAACCAGAGTATGCCCTACCGGCTAAGCGAAGCAGCCTGGTTCCTAAATAAGGACAAGCGGGCTATCCCAGATTTCGGGGGTTTCCAGACATCTTGACCTACACCAAAAGTGGGCTTTGCCCTACCTATAGGAGAAGTTTGATTTCATGGGTGATTATATTTGTTTGGTTATAGAGAAAACTCTCCTAGTCTTTTAAAGAAACTGAACAAGGGGCAAAAACTTTACCTTCAATTTACTCAAAACAGCATTTTGCAGGATAGCCCATTTGTGCTTAAAAGCGACCAAATATGACCTAATATGTGTCGATCAGATCGGAGTGCTGGACATTTATTAAGGTTCTATTTTTCAATTGCTCTGCGGGAGGTTGGAGGGCGTCACTGGAAGGTCTTTTTTTCTATACTTTCCTTCCGATGTTTCTGTGTGTCTGTTTTATTTTTTTCCCTTCACTAAATGGCCGTTACTGAGTCGATGTTCTTTTTACTCAAACAAAAATTGACAAAATTCTACTGATCACATTTATCATTTTTGGACTTGTTTCTGCCCACAGATTTATGCGTAGTGATCACCTTAGCAAGCACGTGAAGACGCATGCACAGGCTGAGAAAAAAGACGGCGAGGAAAGAGATTCAGAGGACGACCGAAAACAAGAAACGTGACAAGTGCAATAAGCCGGGAAAGCCAAGCCCCCTTCTCACAGAAAGACAAAAACACCCACCCGGGCTGTCTAGATCTTTGCACAAAGACCTGTTCTCAAAAGACTCTAAATGAAGAAGAGTCTATCATAAATTCATTACAGCTGGTCTGGTTCTTTGAGTTCAGACTATTCTGCAAAGGCTAACTTTGAAAAGTCTAACAGAATGTTCACCATAAAGAGTTACCAACCAGTTCGTAGATACACATAATAATATTATGTTTCTTAGCCTTACGTTTGATCCCATCCTGCGGTAGCATGTGTGTGCACGTCTGTGTGTATGTGTGTGTGTATGTGTGTGTGTGTGTGTGTGAGAGAGAGAGAGAGAGAGAGAGAGTGTGTGTGTGTGTGTGTGTATATATGTGTGTGCGTGTCTGTATGTGTGTATGTGTATGTATGTGTGTGTGTGCATGTGTGTGTGTGTGTGTGTGTGTGTGTGTGTGTGTGTGTGTGTGTGTGTGTGTTTGGTGAGCTGAAAATATAAATGCTACTGGATATGTTGTTATTATTATTATTAGATAATTTCATGACTTTTACGCCGTTTCTAAGAAACATTGGGTAAACTTGAGAAACTATCAGAGTCGTGCACTTTCGAAAAAAGAAAAGAAAATATGAAAGCCACGCGCCTTTTGACGTCATTGATACGATTAGATTGCCGATTCAACCCGATGGTAAAAGATTCCCTGGACCAAATTACTACTTGTTATTTCCCTAAAATTCAGTGTCACGAAAAATACTTTCCAGTTTAGTCAATTGACGACACGAGTAAGGTGTGTTCGTGCCTTATGAAAATAAAACTGGTTTTCAAATCTGCGACATTTTTGTGTCTTGTATTAAAAAATCATTTATGGAAATATACATTTTTATTTTTTTTTGCTTTGTGCCTTCAGAGTACAGTGAGTGTGCCAGAAATGACCATCTGTAGAACAGCAAACAAACATGAGAGTGCCAAGCCCAGTTAAACGCAGAGGGGACTTAGATTGGTGGATGGTTTTGGTTAAGGTTATCGGGAATCTAATTGTGTCAATATCGTAAAAAAGTGCGTGGCTCGGACAAAGATCGTACACAACAAGATAGTTCACTCACCCGAAAAAGTGTCAGCAGCGGAATTGGTTCAGATGGCGCCGCGGTCTTGGTTTTGAAGCTCTCTTTCGTTTCTCTAGAAAAATAGGAATAGCACAGATTGTTAGTTTCACTGTTATTGTTTTTCATACAAGTAGGGTAACTCTGAACGCAAAGTCCGCACTTTTTCGAAGAGGGCGCCACCGAATTTTGAGGACACTTTTTTAGTTAGCTCAAAGAGAGGAGTGAACTATCTTGTTATGAACGATTTTTTATATTGTCGGAGATATTTGATATCGTCAAAATGTGCGTGGCTCGTATAATGCGCGGTTTTGATAGTTTTACATTTATTTCCCGAAAGTGCTCGGCTCTGATGTTCTCCTGTAATAGCCATAGTTATCACGTATTATGGAAACACAGGGGACATTTTGGTATCAACCACTAATCTTTTAAAAGAGAATGATTCCTGCTATATTTCTGATACTCAGACACACCAATTCGCTTTTTAACATAATATTATTATGCATGTGTGTTCTGCGCGCGTGTGTGTGTGTGTGTGTGTGTGTGGTAGTG